CTTAATCGTGATTGTTTCTTAATTAAAATTTCGCTTTATGAAGCAGACATCTTTTAATTTATTGTAAATTAAACATTTTTTCCTTTACGACTTGAAAATTAAATTCGCATTTTTAAGATAAAGACCACCTAAATGATGGCAGAAGGGTTGTAAAGTAAGTTTAACTGCTAAAAAAAATTATTAATGTATAGAATTAAAGTTTAAATTTTAGATACCATTGCATGCTTAAAAAGGGAAAAAAAAACTCTTTAATTAAATGTTAATTAAATGCACTTTTTTATGTCATGCTGATCTTTTCATAAAACTTTAAAAAAAATAGGCATCAAATGGTGTTAGAACTCGGTTAGTTATTCGTTTTCAAGATAATATTAATTGAAAGGATTAAATAAAAATAGCAAAAATGAGGAAAACATTTTGGTAGTGCAATCTACATAACGGGATTATAAAAGTAGAATTTTCAAAATTTGGTCAAAAAGGTGTTTTTTTTTTTTTTTTTTTTTTTTTTTTTTTTTTTTTTTTTTAAATCTGAGGTAAAACTTGTTTTAACAGTTTCAGAATTCAAAGAATTGGAGGAAAGCACATTTCATTCTCCTGACATTAACGCAGAAATTTTCTTTATAAAAGTCTCATCTTAATGCAGATAAAAGGTTCATTCTGAAAGTTTTACAAATGTTTATGAATCTTACCAAACTTGAAGTGTTCTATTAATTATACGTGCTTTGGAAAATAATAGATAAATATTTTAATACTATATTTCCGTCAACATTAGGTTTTATAACAATATCAGTTTTTAAAAAAATTCATTTTTTGTTCTGATATGTTTAGAGATTTCCACGGCATGGAATTTTATAACGTAAAATGCATAAAAACTAACAAAATGTATGTGAAGATACTTTCGGTACTGCAATCATTTGCCAAAATTATATATTTTAGCTTTTACTTTTGAACTAAATCGATCATTGACTATGATTATTGTGTGAATGCCATTCACTAAAGCAGGGTGTCCTTAACTGTGGGTCGCGACCTACAGTTAAAAAACCCTGCTTGTTGCGACCACAGTTGAGGGTCGACGGATCTGCAGCAGGGGGTCGCCAAAAATTTTAGCTCTTTTGATATTTCTTTCACTTATTATAATATTTTTACAATTACCAAATATTTTTACACAATGTAGATAAAGATAAGCCAATACTAGACAAAGAAAAAAACGAAAACGTTTGAACGCATTCTTTTCATAATATAAACGTTCATTTTCCTTGCTTTGCACCGGATGCTGTCATTTCGTCTGTTAATTATTTAAAATGTTCACTTTGTTCTATGTCTTAAAAACAGAAAATAAAGTTAATAACATAAAAATGCAATAGTATATTGCAGTGCAAGTGAAAAAAAATGTCAGTTTCACTCACGCGTATTTGCGCAATACTTATAGGGTCCCACAAAATTTTGGAAATATTATGTGATCCTTTTTGTGGTCATTATGTGGTTATTATTTTGTAAACGTTATGGGGGTCGAAAAAAATCTCAGTTATAAAAAGGGGTCGCGATTGAAAAAAGTTTAAGCAACCCTGCCCTAAAGTAATGGATATTTCTGTATTCACTTGCAAGATTGATATATGTCAAAGAATATATGATTTTAATTTTATTGCTTTCGCTACAAACAATTTATATTAAAATTAATTTTCTCAGTTGCTCCTATACATAATTTTATTTCAGATGAAAGTTAAATGAAATAAAAAGGATTTTGGCATAACTTATTTATAACTAAATCCTTCTTTCTTTTCTGCTGTTTTCTGGGAAACATTCTTCATCCAATCGTAATGCATCCAATCGTTCTATGCTCGTGAATATTTTCTACGATTTGGATTGAGAAATGAGCATTATATATTAAAGATACAAGCAATCAAATTATAATGTTGAATATAGGAGGGTATCATTTCGCTTCATTTTTTATTATAATAGCATTTCATTAATTGAAGACAAGATAAGAATAACCGTGCAGAAGACCGAGACTTAATTAGTACATAAATTGAACAGGTGTTGTTGCAGTAAGCTAGTGAGACTGTATAACACCCTACAGAGTTTCTCGCTATTTTTCTCAAACAAAGTTTATATTGTTACGAATTTGGTATTTAAAAAGCTAATGTTAGTTCAATTATCAATTAAATGGTTTTATTTCTCGCGCAGTGCAGCGCGTGACGAATATTAAAAGAAAGCTAAGACAGAAAATTGAAAATACAAGAGCGCGTGCATTAAATAAATAAATATCTCTTTTTGATTTCGAGAAAGTACTGGAAAATTCTAGCGCGTGATTTTAAAAATCTTATAAAAGGAGGAAAACATCTCAGTTCGTAGTAGTTGCTTAGTTTGTTGTTGTTTAGAAAACTGCTCTTGTTGATTGTAGCGAATTCGAGGATTAGCTTTCTTTAGCTGTTTTGAATTACGTTCTATTGGACATTTGAGTAGTGAAAAGATAACTACTGTGAGATATTGTAATACTGTATGATAATTTGAGAAAATTTAATCATATTTGTTGTGATAATAATAAATTTTTGTTCATTTTTCATCGGATTTGTGCATTCATTTCGTAACGAACCCGTACGCACGCAACAATATCATTATTAAACACTTTGTTGCTCAGTGTTCCATTACATGGAACATCCAACTTGAATCGCTTCTGAAACCGTTAAATTCCACCGCAAATGCATAAAAATGCCTTTATAATATACTTCGAACTTCTCTTTTTAAATAGTAGATGGCAACATATCACAAGGAGACCCTTCATTTATGATGTGTTATTAAAATCCATTTGTTTCCTACTAATTTTCTATATTTTTTTTTTTTTTTTTTTTTTTTTTTTTTTTTGCGATACAAAAAAATTTGTTTGAAAAAAATTCTGTATAATTTTGATGGCTGTACTCTATATTATTTGTTATATATTTTTTACATTTTTCATACAAAAAGCATGTGCAGAATCGTTGAATAAAACGGGGCGTTCAGTTAGCGGGAACACTGCGCCTTTAGTGATCTCATGCTACTACGCATCAGAACATGTCTTAGGAGAAAATGTTGTGTATGCTTTCTATTTCCGTTGTTTAGGGAGAATGAAGTCAAACAAAGCAGTCTTGAGGGGTGAGGTGTGGTGTGTGCTATGAAAGCCCTAATATGGGCATCCTGAAATTTTTGTGAGTAGTTTTCAGAATGGAATTTTATCAGTAGCTCGAGTCATCTTAGGAGCTGCGGGAATTTTTTGCTGTCGCTTTTTAGTCTCATTTTCGTTTGTTTTCAATATTTGTGTAGTTATTTGTGTATGTATATCTTATAGATTAATTTTCTGTATTGTTAATATTAATTGTAAAAAATTTTTATTAATTTTCCATAAATGGCGCGGAGAGGTCTCACTCTTTCCGAAGCGCTAAAAGTGCTTCGTGAATTACCCTCTCATTCTGAATCAGAGCATGAAGATAGCAGCGGTACTGAGATATACGCTCCTGAAACACTTGTGTAATCCTATGATGATACGTCGGATGAAACTCATTTATTTGAAAGGCCCACCAGTGGCCGAGCAGTAAAGTCGCTGAACACTTGGGAGTTCGGTTCGAGGAACGGTTCCCGCGAACGGACTGGATGCATGGGCATTTTCGTGGTTTTCCCCATGTGAAACGTGTATATAAGTAAGTTTTCCTTAGAAAAGTCCTCTACGAAGGCATCCCTAGGCTTAAGCAGATAGCCCTAGTGTGCTTTGCCATAATTAAATAAACCACACTATTTATTTGATGAGAAAGTTGATGATCTATACCACACAGGCCTCTCTACGCAGCCTTAAGTTTGTACTTGAAATTTTAAACATATTGTTGCACGGAACAGAAGCCGCACAAAACGAGTTTTGTGTTCAAACCAGCAAAGTTGGTTTGTGCTTCTATCAAAACGTGTGATATGCTTTGAATAATTTAACAAATTAAGAAATCGAAATATTTGTAAATATTTTTGTATATAAGACTTGTGTATATACACATATTTATCTCATTTATCCACATATATACAAGAATGTTTTGTCTATCCAGAAAACCATGTACACACCCATAAATACAGTGTTTTTTCGTTACTATACAAAAGCATCTACTCATTTCCGTGCTTCACTGCAATGCTCGCTTAGTCGCACTTTTAAGAGCTCTGGCGGCGCTGTGTTCCACCTCTTGGAACACCCACAGAATTGAAACAGTAAGGGCAATTTTTACAAAATTTTACCTGTAAACTACTTTAAGCCTAGATAGACAGCGTACAAATTTTCTTGTTGAAATTCCGACTTTAATGTATAGTGCACCCAAAGGGTTAATGTTGGACATACACTTAATACATACACTTAAGTAATACACACCACTTCTTGATCTATATGCATACACCTTTTCGTGACATTTACTGATCGCAAATATTTGGAAAGTGATAAGTGGAAAAGATTATTGTAAGTGACACATTTATGTTGTTCTTATATTCCAGTTAAGGTTTTTATTCCTTTAGTTAATCTGCATGCGATATTTATGGAATTATCAACAAATTAAAAACTGTTAAAATGCAATTAAGCATTTTTTTTTTTTTTTTTTAACCACAGCAGCCATATTTGCTTACATTTGAAACTTAGCAGAATAGTGAATTAAGTCTTGCTACTCCTTCAGTGTCTTTCTGCCGAATGGGCACAAAAGGAAACTTGTAGTTATATGCACCAAAAAATCTGCCTTCTTGCCTGCTGAACGAATTGCTTGTTTTTGCGTAGGAACTGTAATTTTAATTTAATTTTTTTTAATTGTTTTAACTGTATTTGGTGTTTTATGTTTTCCTATTATCTTTCAAATTTTAACGAAGATATTTTGAGTCTTTATGTATTTTGACTTTCCGCAAAGTGGGAACCAAATTGATTGAATGAGAATTATATCTCTAATGAAATTCGAGGAAATAAGTTTAAATGAAATGTTTAAATACAAAGTTTATTATCGTACATTTTGTTCAAATGCAATTTTATACTTTACATATAAAAAAATCTGGATTTTTTAATAAAATACTTTCAATTTTTTTCTGCTTACAGCAATTTAAATTAATGCCCCAGTAGCAAAAGTGGTAGCTTTTAAAGTTTGATCCGAGTATATAATTTCTTAAAATGTACTATTTTATAATTTACTGCATTCGTAAGAGAAATATGACTAATTATCTTACCTCCTTCTCCTTCGCAAATTAACGAAACAGGCTGTCCTTCATTATAAGGGCCGATAATTCCATGCAAATGCTGACCAAATTCGTCCATAATTATCGCCTCTCTTGGTGGAACTGAAAAAAAAAAAAAAAAAAAAAAAAAAAAAATCATGATACTGATATATACATATATGATCCAATAATATTAATACTCTAAACAAAATGAATGAGAAATTAACTTTTGATCCAATTTATCTCACTTATATTTTTATTATTTTATTTTACTTATTTCTCTTTTTTTAATATAGGAAGGATTTTTAATTTAGGTTTTCGGAAGGTATTCTCATTGGAATTCTCATTGGAATTATCATATTAAATCCTCTTTTAATCTAAGCTACTATAGGTACACTAGGCCGCTCAACCGGTACAGTGGTTAGCGTCGATGACAGCCGCGCCGAAAGGCCCGGGTTCGAATCCCGGAGATGTAAATGTATAGTGTCAATGTAGCATGGCAGAACTCAAAATATGCGGCGAACCGAAAGTACTCTCGTGTGATTTGATGGAGTTGGGCGAGGAGGGGGAGACCCTCTAACCCGTCTCCCCGGGGTGCTCTCCATGAAACCTGGGGGCGGAACAGAGCCAAATGGCCGTGTCACCAATAAGGTGCTCTAGGCTGTTGCCAATGACAGGCGTATTCTTGCGCTCCTTGCCACGACGAATTTCGTGGGCTTGGGCTGACTACGTCATACAAGTGGGCGTAAGGAACAAAAATAGCATGGTTACACTCAATATTTTTATTTTGACTTTTACCAGCGTAATATTTATCTGTAATTAAGTTTTTGTTCAGTCTTCCTACACATAAGTGTCATTTTTGGACATTCATTAAATTGTACTATTTTGTAGAAATGTACTTCAATTAAATTATACTGTTAATTGTTACATAAGCACGTTTATTGATTTAAAAACAAATATATACTTGCATTTCCTGTTTAACGTTCAATTTGAGTGTACACTTTAAAGCAGACAAGGCGACACCTGCGGGTACCAGATGCGGCTTCGAGTCTCAAAATACGGATGTTTGTACCTGGTTATATACATAACGAATGCTACAACAGACAACCCATCTCAAAACTATCCAATGTACATCCGGTTACTATACTTGGGTATTATTCGCATTTCATTTGGAATTCCGTAAAATGGCATAAATGGTGAACTATGCATTCAACAAAAATTATTAAAAAGCAAAACATATACTATACGTTAAATGCTTCCCTAATTACCCGTGTCTGTTAACAGCATTATGTGTCTCAATGAGATGCTAATCTAACAGAAAAAAAAAAAAAAAAATTCTATGGCTTCCTATTTTCTATTTAGCAAGAAAAAATGCAAAACCGTAAGTCCCCAAATGAGGATAGAATATGTGCTCTCTTTTTGCCTACATATAGCCTACAAACGGAGCTTCTTGGAGGTGTTAAGTAGCTCCTGATAAGATTATTTTAATATTCACTAATTCATTTGATTATAAGATGGACGTAAGCACCAAGTGAGCAATAAATAGAGGTGAACATGGGAAATAGGCCCGAATCTTAACTTCTAAGAATGTTAAACACAACGCAATGCAAAGCTCATCTAAGAGAAAGCTAACACGGAAATATTTCCGATCGCACGTTGAACTAACGATTATCAACACCAATATCTAAACAACTGTGAACAGATGCTCTGTCTCTGGCCGTTATAGTTTTCAACAGGACACCGAGATATTTCTAGTACTTCGAACTTCTCGAAATTACTATACTATGAGGGTCGAACTGCGGTTGTAGCTAATATAGTTATCAGTTACATTTATTCAACTACAATTACAGCTCCACACAGCAATTTAACGGTTTAAGGAATAATAAGAACTTTACTGAATAGAATACATGAAGAAAATATAAAATATTATATTTTGTATATGTATCCTTTCATCGATCACTGCTGAAACTATTTCATAACACTCTTCTTTGCTTTTAGAAATTTCATAACAAGAAGTAAATGTCTAGAAATGTAGGGATTTTAAATGATAAAACTGTTTTGCTTTAAATATTTTTCCTTACCTTCCTGCAACGTTTTTGAACGTTTATTTTTATAGATTTCAGCCTCATGAATAGAAACGTGATACTTACCCACCAATTTTAATAAAAACAAATAAATGTTAGAAGTTATAATTATTATTCAAATATAAGTTATTATTTAGCTCTGATAGTAAGAACACATTTAGATATCGGAATTCAATTCTTCGTAATTATTCGTATATTTCGAATTCTAAAAATATAGCAAGTTTATGTTACTGTTTATTTTTTCCCCCAGGCACCGCATCAGTTCTGTCGCATTAAAATTCAGTAGAAATAATTTTTTACTTTAGTTCTATTTCCTCCCTATTCATATTTGAAATATAACTTTATTTTAAGATTTCAGCTAAAACATTTACAGGAAAAAACAATCGTTATACTTGAATTCTTCCTTTGTATTTTTCAAATTTTTCTCTAAAAGTTAAAAAAAAGGAAAAAAAAAAGTTACTTTTGAAAACAGAAAATAAGAAAACTTAAATTATAGAGATAAGACAAATGAAATACATTTACACTGTTTAAACCATATCCGATATTAAAGTCTTGCAAGGTTGTCTAACCTGTGTTTGACACAAATTAGTCTTTCTTTTTAATCTAATATTAACTTGAGCGTCAGAACATTTTTCTTTAAATAACAGTATTTATTTAACGTTTTATCCAATGTCGTATAGTAATCCGGCTGTACAAATGCCGTGATATACAAATCTCTCTCTTGAATACTAAGATTTTATTTGCATCACGTTCTTATGTTGAATATTTTCACTCAGAACCCATTTTTATGAAGTACTTGTTATTCCTTGCTTGACTATTTACATTCGCATGAAAATAGTAGAATCTCGTAAAGCATATTTCGTAGCTATAAGCAATGCCTCAGAAGTTAGATGATACATGACATTACACTGATGGACTTAGTGGCATATGCATTTTGAAATGATATTAAATTTTTTACGAGTAATATTTATGGTTAAATGTAAGTCACATAACTAGAAAGAAACTGATTCATATTTGGAAATGAAATATATCTGTAAACTACGGTATTAACCCTTGAAGGCCAAAACGTCCAAGACGAACTTTCATTCAGACAACCACAAAAGCCCGAAACGGCTGAGATTCCGATGTTGATTTCTCCTTCGCCTTAAGATATGCAGCAGCAGGTGCAGTTTCGCCAAATGCACTGTATCAGTTTATTGCAGACAGTTTGTCCTAAAAGGCTTCTTTGTTAGGAAGTAGAAAAGATGATATCTGAAATCTTCGCACCTCTTTGTGCGTTCTCTCGGGAAGGAGAGGAAACGGATGGGATGGTCAATGGACGGCAACGTGTGTTTCGACATTTCAAGCATGCAGGTTAGCGAAGGCTTTAGTTTTCTATGGGTTAAACGTTATATCCAGATAATTCCGAGTTGTATGATAGATTTGCTTAAGCTGTGCATGAAGAACTATTTTAAAGTCTGTTTCTGAGTAATTTATGTCTCAATTTTTGAGACTACCCATTATTTTCAAAGGAAAAATTCAGCTTCAAAACAGATTTGTGAATATGCATTACATATGCAAATGTACTAGCTCCCAAAACTTTGCATAAAGGTAACTTACAGAATGCCAGATGCTTTTGAAATGAGATTTGTATTTTTTTGTCATACTTTTAATATTTTATAATTTTGCTAATAAGGTTTCTCTTTTCTGTTTAAAAATATGAGCATTAACAATTTTATGCTAATGTAAAATTGGTGATTTTTTTTTACAAGACATAAAATTAAATTTCATGAACCGAATGCATTAAAAGATGTGATAATGAAAAATAAATGTAAGAAAATAATTTATACTTTTCAGTCTCGCTGAAATGTTATATGTGTGTCAAAAGAATGTTTTTCCAACAGCTTTAATCCTTACCATAATGTATTTTTTATCGCACAAAGCGAAGAAATTTTATAATGGAAAGCTATGCGATTACGAGAAATTGCATTTCCGAATTCCACCTTGAAGCGTGAACATTTTAACTGAATTGAATGCGAGTATTTTGACATTAATTTTAATCTATGTTTAATTGTTTTCTTAAAATAACTATTGAAAACGTAAAATAGTATAGTATTATTATAATTTGCTTTAGGAAATAAATTAGTATTATATCTTGCTTTAGAAAAACATCAATATACTTTATATTTGCTGGAACGTAATTCTTTGTAATTCCGCGTAATTCAGCGACAACATGCTTGCTTATTTGCATTTTAATATAAATACATACTGGCCAATGAAAATGTAGGCTCCGACTTTGTAAAACGCTATACAAATTTCTCTCAATTGATACTATATGCCGGACAGTAATGAAAACTGAGCAGTTTGGAAATACTGTGATCCTTGAGTTTCTGAAAGAGATATTTCACGAAATAAGTCCCTACTCTGACTGCCCGAAAATAGCTTGCCCTTATATTCAGCAATTAAACGTTTTTTTGAAAGTATGTAAGCTGCTTTTATAAAAATGAAGGACAATAGAAATCATCGTACAAGAAGAAATGCACTCCAAATATTTTGGTGGATTATGTTTGACAAAAATACATAGTAAATATTGTCACAGGGTTGGGGAGTTCTGTTCATCCACAAAAGTATGTAATTTAATAATATACAATCTGGAATACATGAACATTTAAAAAAACAATCTTTTAAAACTAACTGTTCATTCCTAAAAATAAATCAAGTGCACAAACTTTAAAATTCTATTTGATGTTGACTCTTAACCAATTAGAGTAGTAATTTTTTATCGTTTTCAGACAGCTTCACCAGTTTTATTTGAACAAAAATCGAGAAAAGTTTACATCATGATTATAAATTTAATTTTAATCAATCTTAACGAAGAAATACATAAAAAATTAATGATATGGAACAATCATTAATATAAAATATTATCACTATTTAATTTCAATTTTTAAAGTTTTAAACTAAAGGTATGAATTTGTCAAGTTTCAAGGAAAGTTGTTTAAAGAAATGAATAATTGAAATGCAACTAGCTACAACACAGTCAATAAAGAATATCCTAAA